GCAGGCTCCCGGCCGTAGCTTGTCTCTCATGTAAGCAGCGCCGGGGCCGACGGTGTCTCTCCAGGCACGGCACCGGGCCCGGCCCCGTCCAGCCTCTCCTCAGGCGCCGGCGGCACTTGCGTTATGGGTTTTTTTTGCAGTTACAGGACTGTAACTTATTCCTAAACCACGTTGTAATGCTCTTCTTGTTTTTTTGCCAGGAACGAGTACAAGTACTTCCAGAGAATGACTACCACATCCCATGTGGAAGGTAATGTTGTACTTGTTGCTGAGGTGTGCCTCTACTTACTAAAATCAGTTTGTGTGGTATCAGTCATGGAAAAGACTGGTAATTTCACTTTTCCCCTGGCTTAAAAGACCTGCGAACTGCCTGCCCTTTCCTGCCCTCCCAAGCCTCACAAGTATTTTACCCCTTTGTCATCTGCAGATTGTTAAAGAAACTGGAGGTGAATAAGATTTTTCAGGACTGCAGGTGATTTGTAAATTAAAAGAATTTCAAAGTCCTGTTTCCCCAACCAGGTACAAAACTTTACCTACCTGTCTTTCCTGACAACTCCAGCCCTGAACAAAATTAAAAACAGAAAGGTTTTTATATGCTGATTAATTAGCAGAGATCTTTTTTTTCAGGCTGTATTAGCTTATCTGACTTGTTTGCTGTAGCTCAGCCATGGCCATTTGTTCCGCCCCTCTGACCCTTGTGACAGTAATTTTGCTTGATTTTCTGAGTGCTGAGCTATCCCGGTAGGCCAGAAAACCCTAACCATACTGATAATATGCAGCAACAATACTGCAGCCTTATGCAGTATATCTGTACACAGTAATATGCAACCCTACTGGTGATATGCAGCCGTAATGTTCAGGCCTAGCAAGACCTTTGCAGCAAAGTAGTATTATAGACTCTGATGATTTGGTGAGATAAAACATGTTATTGCAGGGTGAAAAAAATGTGAAAGTCAGCACAAACAAACAGGGATAAAATTGCAAAAGATGAAAACAGATGATTTGTTTTGACTGGGTACTTACCACTGCCAGAAGAGACAAGTCTTGCCACATTGCCCCCATTCCTCTTTCACGCTGACTTTAGTGCTGGTTTGACACTTCCTTAAGCTGTTTAAATTCTCTAATGCAGTAGGCTAAGCTACTGGGTGTCTGCAGGGACTGCCAGTACAAGGTGCGTCATAGGAGTGGGAAGGAGGCATTGGGAGAGGAGGGGTAGGACCTTCCTGAGCCATGCGACTGGCTCACTGCATCGGGTGGAATCAGCCATGAGACACAACAGATTTATCCTCACGTTTTTGCTGCTTCTCTGTTTGCCAGTGTGGTCACTCTCCTTCCTGTGGGGTTTTTTTCATGCTCCTTAAAACTGCTGTCTAGCAAAACTCGCTTGTTTGCTAAAACTTCTGGGCAGCCTAACATGTGCCCTGGTTTTGGTTGAGCAATCTATTCCATATTCTGATTTGAAAGTCTGTTCCATATTCCACAAGGAATGTCTAATCTGCTTTTGCAAGTCTTAAGTGAAAGATTTTACTTGTGTTTTGGAGACCTGATTCAGCCCATTGCAACCTTAAGTACAAAAAAGACACAACACAAATGTAAGTCTTTTTATATGTCTGCAATTTGCATCTTACCTGGCACAAATAACCTGTAATCAAAAAAAAGATGTTTTAAATATAATTTAAAAGAATTTAAATTTTTCTCCATCCTGCCATCAGATCTTTTGATAAGCTATGACCTTAGATGCTAGGCAGTTAAGTTGCTTCGTAACCAGACCTCTTAATGGATTATGCTGCCATAAATCTTCATAGCAGGGATATCACCATTGCCTCAAAAAAGTCAAGGGAGTCACTGATTTTTGGAAGTGGGAAGAATACAGTGGAGAATCATCACCCGATCTTGCTTTTAGTCTGCTTGAATACCTGCACTGGCCACTGCTGTAAATTAGCTATTGTTCAGACAAATCTTTGTTCTGACCCCATAGGCATCCTAGTATGAATCTTTAGTAAGAAAATACATATATTTTTCAGAACTTGTGCATTTCCTTCAGCAGTGGTGCCAGTGGTCTGTGCTAACATATCTAAACTGACACTGCAGTATGTCTCTTGGAAACTTGCTCATGAAGCTTATCTGCAGGAGAAAGGCCTTTAGACGCTGCTAATAAGCAACTGGAGCATCAGTTCTCTGGTGTGATGTAGTAGATTCAGCCTCTCAGATCAAGAAGCAGGGAGGATAGCTGTGAACAAATACTATTTTTTTTTCTAAAATCCCTCCTGCTATGTAGCACTGTAAAAAACTTCTGTTACCTTCTGTGAATCTCAATCTCTGTGTTTATTTCTCTGACAACTCCATTTGCTTGTAAAGAGAAACCCTCTTCTTGTCAGGGTATATATAAGAGATAATCAGGTTATGAATGTTTGGTCAGAAATTATATTTACAGGTGAATTCTAGAATATGATTGAAGACCTGTTGCACTTCTGCTTTTGATTTAATTTGGCTGGTTCTCCTAAAAATTATCCTTTTACCTTTTTTTTTTTTAAAAAATAAAGGTCAAAGCTGGCAGTTATTCCTGATCATATAACTGGAATGATGGAACATGCAAACACAAAGTCGATTACTGTATGCTGCTCAGATTTGTAAAGAGATTTCACACTAAGAGAACTCTTATGATGGTGTGAGTCATTCTCACATATGAAGATTAACGTAGCCCCGTAACTGTAGCAGAGCCAACGTCCATGTAGTGCATGTAATGGGCAGTGACATACCCTTTTTTATATTCTTTCAATTATAAGATTATAGGTGTGCATGAGACTACTTTGGTGTCAACTGCCTGCCAAGTCTTTGAGGCCACAAACTCATCTTCTATGCATGTGACTAATCTGAGAGTCGGGGCCTAAGTGTGTACTTTTGTTAACTGCTGAAATGGAGTTCAGAAGGGGGAGGGAAAGTCCAGCAGATGTCACTAAACCAAAACAAATTTGGGACACAGCAAAAATACCCTTTAAATAAGTGTTTTCTCTCTTACTCAGGTAAACAGAATGCTCTGATAATGGGTAAAAAAACCTGGTTCTCCATTCCTGAGAAGAATCGTCCCTTAAAAGACAGAATTAATATAGTGCTCAGCAGGGAGCTCAAGTACGTATGATGAATAATATGCCTGTAAAACAAATAACAAGTCTGCGCCTAACCTAAAAATATGTGTAGCAATACATCCTAAAGTAATTCTAAATGTAACATTTTTGATATCTGGTTAGGAAGTATCTCTGCTATATCTGACTGCTATCACTACTTTACCTTTAATTTTTTAATTATTATTTATTTATTATTATTTCTTAATTAATTCACAAGATAATTGTCATTACTTTGCATAATAAATACTAGTCCTAATACTCTACACACAGACCATCTGACAATTGTCAGTAGTCTTTCTGACTTGTGTGTTCAACTGTATTTCTCCAGTTCCTCGTTAAGATTGGTGGCTCTTATTCACTTTTTTGAAGTTTATTTTTATTAGCATTTAAGGAAAAAGAACTGTCCTTTTTTAGAGCTCTGTTCTTGAATCTATCACCCACAGTCATCCAAATACTCTTAAACAAAAATGTCCACTTATAATGGTTTATTGCTTTGGAGGATGTGGGTGGGTTTGGGGCTGAATATGGGGGGGCAGGCAGGGGATAAGGGCTTTTTTACTAGTTTTATTGAATGAAATATTGATGTTCTAGAATTCAAGTAGAAATCCATACTTAATTTTACAGATAGCTAAATGTCTCAGGCTTTTTTAAAAACATGACATAAAATTTCAGATCTGTAATTTGTAATGCCTCTTAAGTCACAGTTATGATTAAACCAGTTTTTATTAAACAATCCTGCAGCCAGAGGAGAATTCTAGTAGTTTAGCAATAATACACATTTCAAAATAATTAACTAATGTGAAACATTTAGTCATTTGTGAATTCAGCAAAACACATTGTAAGTCTAGCTTGTGTTGATTATCATGATGAATGGTCCTTTAATTACTTAGTAATAAAATATGGCTTTTTCTAGGGAAACCCCAAAAGGAGCACATTACCTTTCCAAAAGTCTGGATGATGCTTTAGCTCTTTTGGATTCACCAGAGTTAAAAAGTAAAGTAGACATGGTTTGGATCGTCGGAGGCACTTCAGTTTACAAGGTACATTTAGAGTACTCCTAAATTACTCATTTTCTGTAATGGGATGAGTGTGGCTCAAGTTCCTGTTACTTCCGCTTCAGGAAGTGCCTTTCCTTCATGTGACCCAGCAAACACCAGTGATTCCAACAGAACAAATCTTGGACACTTAAGATTTCAAGTCACAAGTTTAAAATATCTGTCCAAGTAACCAAATGTTGCTCTTGCTAATGGTCCAGTGTCATACAGTCATTATGCTTTTGAGAGCTTTTCTTAAGTATCTAAATTGTTAGGATTTTACACCAAGACCCATATTGTTATGTTTATTTTACTGAGGTAGTAGACTGACTCTGCAGAGGATGTGGAGAAAAAAGGAAAAATGATCCAGCATTTTTAGTCAGAGTATGACACTTTATACAGGTATACAGGTAAGAAAAGAGGATTTAGAGAGAGCTGGTACGTGATGGTGTCAGTGATGAGAAGAAATAATGATACAACAAAATGTAGAACTGACTCTCTGTTCCCATCTAGCAACGAGGTGTCCCTACTGTTCCCACTCCCCAGGTTTCTCTTGGTGTCTAGGGTGTCTCGGTATTCAGGTGTCCATTCATGTGCCAAAAAGCCAGCATGTGCCACTTTCTTCCCAGGACCATCTTTGCACAGACAAAGGCCTGTATAAACTGCCCCATTTTCCCACAAGTGCAATAGTCCTCCTGTCATTAACTAAGATATTAGCCGTGCAGCATGAAGGTCTGCAGTAAAACCTATCTTCTTGTTGCCCTGTGTTTCCACAGCCATCTTTCTCCCTTCTCCCAAACCCTTCCTCTCATTTTCCATTTATACGGATGTAAAGTTTAGTCAACTCTCCATGCCTCCATCCACCTCCCTAGAGTTGTCCTTTCAGCCCCTACACAGTCAGGGTTCTTTTGTTAAGTTCTCATATAAGTTGCATTTATTGTCAAACAGTACCACACGAAAGATTTTGGCTATCAACCCAAGTTCCTTTCATATCAATCAGGAGAATATGGAATGACAGCAGTAAGCATTCTTTCTTCTGATAAAAGCAATCTTAATTAAGAATTGTAAAGCAAATTTTTTATATATATATACAGAGTAAAGGAAAAACAGTTCTCCTGTCAGTTAGTCATTACAAGTTTGCTGGGAAATATACTCCACTTCTTGTTTGGCACTTGGACTTCAGGTGTGATGAAAATGCCATCATGCTCTTGGTAGCAAATTAGGGCTGATAATGTGCTTTGTATACAGAGTGGGAAAATACATGTTCTGATATTTCTTGCCTTTGCAGTTTATGCCTTTCATGAACCTCTTAGACTCTGTGTCTTAGGGAGTACATCTTTTACAGTAAAAAAAGCAAAGTAGTGTAAGAAAAATAAGATGTATATGTAAATAGTGTGTAAAACACTGTTGTTCCTTTGGGGTTTTTTATGTTTTATAATCACTTTTACATGGGGTGAAGCCCACCATATATTTGATATCCAAATGTGTTCAGTCTATAATCAAGTACTATCCTGTAGAAGTAGCCTGTCCTTTGCTCTCAGCCATTAAAATGCCTGCTTCCAGGCAGTAAGTAGCAAGTTTCTGGAGACAGATTCTCTTCAGATTAGGTATAACTGCCCAGCATGAGCAAGAGACTAGATTGGGCTTCTGCCTGTAATTCTGCAGGATGCATAGTGTGACCAGAAGCATTTACCCTTTCTGTGCAATGGCCACAATACTCATCTAGTGCTGCAACAAGTGATTATTTTGGTTGTTCTTCCAGTAGTGTCTTTGTTGTAGACTCCTGATTTAACTATTTTTCCAGTGTCTAGCTGATATTTTGTAGAAAACAATGCCAATTTTTTTAGACTATTACTTGCCAGTGCTTAGATTATAAATAGGCAGTTTTGATCGAGAGTACATTTGCAACATATTACTTGTGCTGATCAGCGTAAGGGAATATGACTTAAAATTTCAACTGTGTTCTCCCTTTCAAACATCTGCTCGGGATGTTTCAAAGGAATGTAACTCATTAGGGAGAAATCTGACAGTTTTATACAGATTCCTGCGTTCAAACTAGCTTTGTGATCTTAATTAAAAGGATTTGATGGAAACCATACACCTCTACCAAAACTGCAGGTAGTATTTTTAGTGCCTGTATTAAAGATGCACAAAGGATTACAGGAGTATTTCCATTATACCATGTAGAAATGGGTGGGAAGTAAAATAGCAATACCTAATTGAGGTGAATCATTTTATTCAGTAGTTGTGGGTATTTGCTTTTAAAGCATTTTGATCTTACTACTTTGTATGGCTCAGAGGTTTAGAACTGATTGTGTTTATTAGTACAAGCCTGTGATGGAAAAGTGTCTGTAAGTACTTTACCAAATAAGTACAACAGGAGTGTTTTGAAACAGGTAGTGCTGAGGACATGACATTCCCACTTTTCACACTTTGTGGAGTTTAACCCAAAGTTCAGATCTTTCAAACCAGGTAGAGCTTTATGAGGACAGACCTTGGTGAGGAGAGCAGGCCAGTCTGGAAAGCACCATACTATTCTTTTCATCTGCCTCCTGCAGATGATGGTCCCAACCACCATCAACCCTTTTCTATTCCTGATCTTGTACCTGGCTCCTCCTACTCATTTACAGGTAACACTGCTGTGCCTGCTGAATAAATCCTCTTCTGCATCTGAGCAAAGCCACACAACGGTGCAGTAGAGAGCTGCTTTGCACCAGGGGGAGCTAGTCCATTATAATCCCAGTAAGAGCACCCAGATTCTGTAAAGTGTCATTTAAAATGCTACTTTCTGGAGCTAATGTTTTAAAGAAGGACAGAATAGTGTAAGTAACCTTACATCCCTTTAGATGTTGGGAACTCTGATTTCTGTGGCATTGAACAAGATTCTAAGCCACGTGCAGCATGCTGTGCAGACCCCATCTGTAGAAAGGGCTACCCCATTTTGGTCGTTCAAGCTATTATAGGAATTTCTTACAAGAAAACATGTTTATTCATAATTTCTGCTGTCAAATAGAAAGAATGTTCACATGAGAACTTCTTGCTGCTCTTTTCAATAAAGGCAAGGGCACGCAGGTGGTATAGTTGTCAGTATCAAGTGGGACCTGCCTAGAGACTCCTCTTTTACAGTTTTCTGGCTGAGTTTTATCCTGTGGCCAAGGAATATGTGCAGCACAGTACAGGCCTAGGTTTATTCAGGTTAATTGTTATGTGGATTGCTAACTCCTTAATGCACAGTGGTCTTTCAGTCAGGATCACTACAAAAGGGAACGGCAAGCTCACGCATGCACCCATTGCACTTACTTTGGAAGGGCTGCTTTGACAGCCTGTCGCAGGCTGTTGCAGATGTCTTGAAGGCAGAGTAGAAAGATGGGGGATAATGGCGTTCCTGGAGTCTTCACTGCTCTGCCCTGGTTGACCTGCGGCCCTTGGCACAGGAGTTGAGCTCAGGCTGGTGACATCCCATTGGTATGGGGATCCTGGAGAATAAGAAGTAGATGCAGAATGTATTGAATGTGAGGGTGCACAACTGAGGCCATCTGTCAAGAGCTGCTACAACAGCTTTGCCATTGCCAGATGGCATTTCTAGAGTCCATATCATTATTTGAGAGGGTGACTTATTGTCCTGTGGAGTCTTTTAACAGCAGCTCCTAACCTTAGCAACTTCTGATCAGTTAATCAGTTTGGGATGGGGAGGTCCACCATGATCAGGGTTGTTCCAAACAACCTCAGACTGAAAAGGGATGCTGGCAGCTTCTTTCTGCACAAGGTCATTCAAGGTGTTTGAATGCCTGCCTTACCTGAAATAGTGCATCTCCTCTATGCCTCATGCTGCCCTGCCCAGATACCATGCTGAAACACAAGCCTGGCTTATCCTCATCCAGAGAACTGTGCCGAGGTGGAGCATCTACCCAGCTGCCTGAGTGCAGAAGGACACAGGTGTCCAGCCTGTCTCTCAGTCTCAAGTACAGATGGCTGCTGTTAAGAACTGAGGCGAGCAAAGGTGCTAGAGCATGCGCTCCAGGATGGCATTTCAGGACAGGATGCTGCCCTCAGCAACAGGGGCAAGGAATGGGATGGAGGCGAGGGACTGCTGCTGTCTACAACCCCTTTGTAGGACTGCAGAGGATAGAGGAGCAAGCCTGACAGTCGCTGAACATTTATAAGGACACAGTGCAGCTGTCTATTGCTTATGGCCATCTTGCCCACTGCCCCTAGGTTCTCAAGGACACAGTTCTCTTCAGGGTGGTGGGAGTGTCGGCATAAGCTGCCTCAAGTCCTGTGAAGATCAGAGAAAGGTGGGCTCTGAACAGGGTGGCCATCCAAGTCCTCGTGTAGGTTACATTCATGCTGCGTTCAGCAGCATACTCTGGGAAACTGTCTCTTCTGGGCCATGACCTCTGCAACAGGAAAAGGCAGAGCAGCTAGACATAGTAGGCATTTTGGTGGGGACAGGGGGAGCTGAGTAAAGTATTAGTATTAGGAATATTTAGGAGAGCAGAAAAGATTGAAAACAGCTCCCGCAGTCCACTGAGGTTCAAAAGCCTTGTGCAGCCTCATCTTCTTACATTTGATTTGACACTGATCACCTCATCAAGTTTGTAATCTCCTGATACAGCCACAGTGTAGTACTGTTGCCTCCAGGGAAGCTTTTGGACTTCTCACAGCACAGGTTTACAAGTTTCATTTCTTTGGATCTCAGTGTGATGCCATACTGGATCTTCTGCACTGTTCTGGATCTCCTGAGTTCCAGAGGTAGTTGATGTTGCTATTGATTGTATGGATGAGGAAGGAGGAGTGTAGCAGCCCAGCAATGGCCAGCAGGCCACAGCAATTACGAAGCCGTCATGCGTCATGAGAGGCACTCCATGATTTTGCATGAGCACTTCACGTTTTGAGAGCCATCTGCTGACTCATGAATGCTTGTTGTGTGCAGGAAAACTTGTGGTGGTGACGCAGTCATTGGTTTTGGCCCTTGAGTCCCCATTAGCTGTTAGAGGTTATCAGGC